ATATATATATATGCCCCTATCGTATAATTCGTTATTTAATCTTTTAGTGTGGTCACTATATAACTTTTTTTGAATTTTGAAAAAGAATAGATTAAGCTCTAAAAATTTTAAAGCAAACAAAGTTGTTAAGAACAATTTTTAAAGGTAAATCTTTTAGTTATGTTTTGAATAAATGAGTTTGGATTCATAAATTTTGTTTTTAAGAAATGTGACTTAAAAGTTCAATAACCTATTAGAGGTATATAAATATTTTATAAGAAAGTATACAAAATATAGTTTGATTTTTCTTTGACTTATTTTTAATACTATCAAATCAGAATATGAACTTTTTAAATTTAAAATTAAACTAACACAAATTCAAAATTAAATAACTAAATTAAATTAATTCAATTTTAACTAAATCATGAATATCTTTACAATAAAGATGTAAAAATTCACCTAGAAATTCATTTTTTTTCCTGTCGGTCATTTAATGAACTATTTTTCGAGTTAGGGTAATAATTTGACCGTATAATATTGGTGCCGACAATTAGAATAATATTTTCCTATAATATCGATGCGTTTATTTATATCCACAGCACATTGGGAAGTTAATAATTATACTGAAAAATAGCAATAGAATGGGGGAGGAATTCAAAGGCTAAAAACAAGGGATTTGCTTCATCACAACACATTGTATAAGCGTCACCTATTACGTATTGAGAATAAATAAATAAAATATGAAAAATAATACATATATTTCTGTTTTAAATAAAGAACTAAAGCGTTAATTATACTATTGACAGATTCAAAATTTTAACTAAGAAGTGATAATATGTAATATATATAAATAAAATTTTTTGTCTAGCTATATAGTGTAATGTTTTGATTGGCGAAGAGTATGTGTATCTCAACCACAGTTAATTACCATTAATAAAATTATATCTTTTGAAATTTGAGGAAGTCAATACAAACATATAAACGAATTGAACTGAATTTAAATAAATTTAAATGAGTTGAATTAATAATTAAACGAGTTATTGATTCTTTGAAAAATTACTGGGGCTAAAATGAGTTTGGATAAAAACAATCTAAAATGTTGATCATAACTCAACTCACTCAACTTTTACTAATATTTAATTATTTTAATTTGTTCTTTCATAAAAATATAATGACAAAAATTCTCATGAATCACTTTAGACTAATTGAAATAAACTGTACCAATAAATTAAGGATCAATAATCTGTTCAAACTTGATTAAATTGAATGAGGAATAATTTCACGAGCTAACTTTATCACCTTTACGAGCAAGTGAGCAGTAGTTTTGTTTTTATAAAATTTTAATATATATTTTACAACATATCTTTGTCATTTTAGACCATTATTTAAATTTGCTTTTAGAATTTCAAACTTTGAACTACACACGTCTTTGATAATATATAGTCAAAAGATTTATCTTTTTAATTAAAATAAATTGATAGTTCAAACTTCAAAGTGAGCATAGCTCAGGAGCATCTCTTTCAAATTATAACCATTTAGCATCTTCCTTATCTTAAAAGGATTATTTTTTCAAAGTACAAACATTTATAATATTATCAAATATTTTGAAGTTTGAACCTATGACTTAAATATATTTTTAGCCCCTGGTTAGTTGATGCCTACAACATAATAATTAAAAAAAATAAAAAAAAATTTAAAAATTACGATATGTCTTAATATAATATAAACGGCAAGAATCAATTATATGAATCTTCACTATTCACTAGCTCCATCTCAGTATAATAATTCACTTTAATATTATACATAATCTTTGACACGCACAATAGATCCAGGCAATTACTGTTCAAGATAATGTCGGTGTGAATTTTGTAAGGCATATCTAGATTTCAATTTCAATGAAAAATAAAATTAATGAAATGATAAATTAAAGTCAAATCAAGCAAACAAAGTCAAAAATCAAAGCCTCTACGCTTCTAGATTTTTTATTGAGTTGGCAAATAAAACTCATTATCATAGACGCTCTAAGCTTGCACGTATTCTATCATCATTATATTATTTTTAATGTATTTTTCAAAACTATATAAACTCTATTATTTTCCTCTAATATTACAACACCATCACACAACAAATAAATTAAATCATGGCTTCTTCTAATTGTTTACATGCCATTCTTTTGTGTTCTCTTCTTTTCATTACTTCAACTATAGCTCAAAATCAAACTTCATTCCGTCCCAAAGGCCTAATTATCCCAGTCACAAAAGATGCTTCAACTCTCCAATACCTTACACAAATCCAACAAAGAACACCTCTTGTCCCTATAAGTTTAACTCTTGATCTTGGTGGCCAATTTTTATGGGTAGATTGTGATCAAGGTTATGTTTCTTCCTCTTATAAACCGGCCCGGTGTGGCTCCGCCCAGTGTTCACTGGGCGGAGCGTCTGGTTGTGGAGAATGCTTTTCTCCACCTAGACCGGGTTGTAATAATAACACGTGTGGTCTACTTCCTGACAACACGGTTACTGGGACCGCTACTAGTGGAGAGTTAGCTTCTGATGTTGTGTCAGTAGAATCATCTAATGGAAAAAATCCTGGTAGGAGCGTTAGTGATAAAAATTTCCTTTTTGTTTGTGGTGCTACATTTCTTTTACAAGGTCTTGCTAGTGGTGTTAAGGGTATGGCTGGTCTTGGAAGAACAAAAATATCTCTTCCTTCTCAATTCTCAGCTGAATTTAGTTTTCCTAGAAAATTTGCTCTTTGTTTGACTTCTAGTAGTAACTCTAAAGGTGTGGTACTTTTTGGAGATGGTCCTTATTTTTTCTTACCTAATAGACAATTCTCAAATAATGACTTTCAATACACTCCACTTTTTATAAATCCAGTAAGTACAGCCTCAGCCTTTTCATCAGGTCAACCATCATCTGAATACTTTATTGGTGTAAAATCCATTAAGATTAACCAAAAAGTTGTACCAATAAACACAACTTTGTTGTCAATTGACAATCAAGGTGTTGGTGGAACAAAAATCAGCACAGTAAATCCTTACACAATCTTGGAGACTTCACTATACAATGCTATCACAAATTTCTTTGTGAAGGAACTAGCTAATGTGACTAGGGTCGCGGTCGTGGCGCCATTTAGGGTTTGTTTTGATTCAAGAGATATTGGAAGTACAAGAGTTGGACCAGCAGTGCCATCAATTGATCTTGTTTTACAAAATGCAAATGTTGTTTGGACTATTTTTGGAGCTAATTCAATGGTACAAGTTAGTGAAAATGTCTTGTGTCTTGGAGTTTTGGATGGTGGTGTTAATGCAAGGACTTCAATTGTGATTGGAGGACATACAATTGAAGACAATCTTTTGCAATTTGATCATGCAGCATCAAGATTGGGATTCACATCTTCAATCCTTTTTAGACAAACTACATGTGCCAATTTTAATTTCACTTCAATTGCTTAGGTAGTGTGGACCTAAGTTGTTTTAATTAATGTATTGAATTATAATAATGTTCAAACTTTGTGTTTGGGCACTTTGTAATAATTGGATGTATAAGATTTCTTGTGATTCGTTTTGTTAAACTTATATGTGTTTGACAATGTAGTTTTCTTATAGTGTCTCGTATAATGGTAATCCCTTATACAAAATAAACTACACAATAGGATTAATTATTATTAAAGTTAATTGACTAAAGTTATTCTTTGTATTTCTTTTTTCAGTCAATTGAATTTATTTGACTTTATAAAAAAAATTGTTTACTAAAAAAGTATGACACTATTTAATTTTATAAGACACATAATTTTTATTAGGAGTTTCATTTTATCAACAAGCTTTACTAATAATATTTTAAAATTTTAGATTTGATTATTATTGTCACTGTCTCATTTTATGTGATATATTTTGACACGGAGTTTAAAAATAGAAGAGCGATTTTTAAAACTTTTGATCTTAAATAAATGATAGAAATTTGAGTGGTTATAAATCATTTCATTAACGATAAAATGAATATTTTAAAGTTAAATTGTTACTTAATAAAGAAATGTATTTTTTGGGTCTGACTAAAAAGGAGAGCAAATCAATCATAAATAGAGTCGTCAATATGGTTTAAGCCCGTTGGGCTGGCCTGGCCTAACCCGAAATTTAAGAAAAAGATTTTTCAACCCGACCTGAATAAGCATGTTGATTTGTGTGGCTTTGAAAAACATCGATAGGGTCGGCGTGTGGGGCCAATAAAAATTAATTAAAAAATACAATATAATATTAAAATTTAAAATTAAAAAGAGTTCGAACTCAAAACAATTAGATTAATATTTCTATTTAGATATTTATACTTTTACTTGAAAAAAAGCTTAATAAATATTATAGAAATAATTTTATTTGTGGATTTGATTAGCAAGTAGTAACATTAACATCATGTAATATTATTTTGTCGATATTTATGATAATATTTTTAAATTATAATTTATAATTTAATTTAATAATTATAAAAATATATAATTTTTAAAAAAGTGGGCTGACCCGACTAGCCTGTAGCCCACGTACTTATAGATTGGGCCGACCGTTTTCTGCCTCACACCAAAAATGAGCTAGCCCGGATTGGGTGGGCTAGCCGATATTGATAGTTCTAATAAAAAATGAGTTATTTAATGATAAAAATAGTATTCAATGAAATAATAACTTCATAAATCCGTTGTATTATACATGTGGATTATCCAATAGATTTATTCAAACAAATTGAATTCATGTATTTTTGCTTTCAATATGATAAGAACCTCCAAGATAATTATGAACTTGATTTTATAACACGTTATCAGCACGAATACGCTCTAATAATTATAATACTTCGCAAAGGAGTTATAGTTGAAACTTTTGTGAGCAAGAACATGTTATATTTATTTTTTCTTGTTACACATTTATATTTTCAAAAATTCCTCTTACGCTAATAATTTATTTTAGTATATATGTGTTCTATGAAAAGGTAGAACATATTGGTTTGTTTTACTTTAATAATTTTATACATTGATTTATGATTATACTAACAATTTTTCGTTTCAGAAAAGAATTGAAGGATAAAGAAGTAAATTTTCATGTTGATTTTCTTAGTATTAATTATGAGGAACTTACTAATATTTATAATTACTAGAGGGTAAGAAGATGCATTCAAGTCTCATCGCACCAAAAGGGTAAGCCATCAGGTTAAAGTCCGAATGCACCATAATGAAAAATGTTTGAAATCCGCATGTTGATTTGCTCCAATCTATCATATCAATATGGTAGCAGTAAAAAATTAGTCTGAAAGATGACAAATGATTAACGATATTAAAAAGGGCGTGAAGGGACATAATTATAATAGTCATCATTGTGATAATTATAAAAGGAAGAAAAATATGGGTTCTCCAAGTGGTCCTTCAAAATGTGAATGTAATTTTTATCATCAAAATGGTATGAAAGATTATTGAACTTGTGGTTGTTGTCGACCTAATAATTTGATAAGTTTATAAAGCTACCGTCAAAAGAAAAGAATATAAAATGGTGGTACACTTGACTTTTCAAAAATGATAGTAAGGTGTGTAAAGCAAAAATGATAAATTTTCAAAAGCATGACAATGTGCTTATAATGCAAATTTATGATACACATATAAATGATTAGTCCATTTCTTAAAGAGAATGTGAAATGTGATGAGTATCGTTAATGCTCGAGATGTGAAAAGATCATTATGAGTTGCATATATGTCACAACTCACCTCTATGAGAGGTTTGATAAAATGATATAAGCCAAAACTTACCTCTACTAGAGGTTTGAGAGGAAATAAATTTTATTAAGAAGAAATTATTAATGGTATTGTACGTTTATACATCACTATGGTATGTTTATTGTGAACAACCGAAAGGGAAAAAGAATGACAAAGTTCTTAAATATAGGGTTGTGGTCATTATTTTGTGGCAATACAAATTTGTCATTGCTTGTGTACCTATGATACAACAAAAGTAAAGTAAAAAACATGCCTTGCTCGTAATAGTTTTGACCATGACAATAATAATCTAATTTCTACTTGAGGAGATGTTCACCATATGGATGGTCATGGAATATGTAATAGTACACAAAATTAATTCAAGCTCTAATGAGTTGTATTATTAGCAGATGAATAATATTGGGGTTGTAGTAAGTCTCAAAAGAAATTTTTTAAGTTTCAGATGAATTGAAAAAATATATATATTGAAACTATGAATTATAAAAGATTTATTATCTTCAGATTTTACTACAACCGAAATGGGTTATAAATATTTATATAAAAGGTTACCCATTGTTTCCTCTTGTTTGTTTTTCACAAACATGGACATGCTAATGAATTCACATGCAAAAGTAAACTATAAGTATCTGAAATGAAGATCAGTTGGCATGACCAGTTGACCATTCTGGTTTAAATGTGATGCAAATGTAATTGAGAATTCATGTAGATTATATGATGAAGAAATAAAAGATTCTTCATGAATTCTCTTGTGTTGCTTGTTCTCCTCATAAAATGATCATTGTACCAACAAAGGTTGGGATTGTAATTTCCTGAAATTTTTGAAACATATTAAAAGGTGAATATGGATCCTTTAGTGGATCATTTGCAACTATATGATAGATGTATCTATGCGATGATCACATGTGTTCTGATGTCAACATACAAATTGGTGTTTGTAAGGTTGTTTGCTCGAATTGTTAAATTAAGAGCACAGTTTCAAATTTTGAAGTCATATTGATAATGCTGATTGATTTAACAGAAACTATATGCCTTCAATTACAGCTCAATCATGGTTATGAGAACAGAACTCCCAAAATAAGATTTGGTATGAGATAATTTAACGTGTAGCAACACATATATGCATTAAGCCAACAAGGTTTCCCAATTAAAATTGGTTCAGGGTCACGAACCAAATAATTTTCATCTAAAATATTGAATGTGCGGTTATAATTTTAATTGTTCCATCACGCAAAAAGACGAATTCCTAAATAAGGTTGGGATGAATGTTATATTTTCTAACATTAGGGGTGAGATGATTGACAGTTGAAAATTATTTGTGAGGTTAATTATGAATTATCTAGATCCTCGTTGTGAACGTAAAGTTCAAGTAATAATTCATTTGCATAATGTTGCAAAACAATTTTCAGATGAATTTAATGACCCTATGATATAATTCGGCTGCAAATGCTCCAATGTAAAGTCTTTGAAAGACAAAATCTATGATACGCCGGAAGTGTAATAGACTAATCAATTTCAAATATAGAATTCCTTGAAGAAGGAGATGAGCAAATGATCAATATGATAATGATAATGAGACAAGTGCTATAAGAGAGCACCACGACATAACACTTCATAAAACCTTGAAAAAGGTTCAGGTACCTGAAAAATAATGAAAAATTAAGAGATCTTGATAAGTTATGTCATGTCGGAATCAATATCAAATAACCATCGACAGTATCTTTGATATGAGGTAGCTCTTAATGATATAAATTGTGACGAGAATCTCAAATATGTCATATAGTGTGAACAGATAAATGGTTGGCCAAGTAAATGCATAATGCAAGTATATTTTGTTTCACTTAGAGAAATGACATTTTGGACTGATAGTCCATAAATTAAGGTATAATGTCAGAAGGGTACAAATAAATTATTAAGCGATGGTATAATCGTAATATATCATGTACAACTTGTGCCTTGGGGTATAAAGACTTATCGCAAAATTCCTGATATTATTGGAGATGTTTTCTCCCATGTTGAATGCAATGAGGTTTGTTTTGATCTGACAATATATGAAAAACTTGAATGCATATAATGGATAATTATCATGTCTAGCTAGACAATAACGAATGTTATATAAAAATCCTTGAAGTAATCAAGGTGTCTAAAGTATATAAGAGTTTGAAAGAAACCTTTTCAGTAAAGCTTCACGAATCTTTATATGGAGTGAAATAGTCAAGAAAGAAAATGATACAAAAGAATGACCCTAATTGTCCTTTCATTTTTATGAAAAGGTCCTGGTAAGACAGAATTTTGTCTTAACCTACAGATTGATAATTTGACAAATGAAATATTTGTCTATCAGTTCAGATACACATAAAAGTGTTGATGCAATTTTAAATAGATTATTAATTGAGTACCCCAATGATTATGAGATTGGTTGATATAAATAAAGATTCACTTTGATCTCAAAAAGAAATATGAAGAGCTTCTTGGTGATGAAATTTCATATCTTAGTGCAATCAGGGCACTAATGCATTTTGCTAACGATACTCGACCTTATATTTGTTTTGCAGTAAATTTATTGGCAAGATTCAATTCCTCCCCAATAAAAGAACATTGAAATGGTCCTAAACATATACTTGAATATCTCCGAAGGATTATAGACATGTGTTTATTCTATTCCGAGGAATTCAAGTCAAAGCTGACTGGTTACGCATGCAGAATATTTATTTGATCTGCATAAAACTCGATCTTAAACACGTTAGTTGTTTGCATGTGGAGCCACAATGATATCTTGGCGATTAATGAAGCAAATGTTGGTGATCACTTCTTCAAACCATGTAGAAATA